CCACACCTGGCTCATTTTTTTGTATTTTTAGTAGAGACGGAGTTTCATCATGTTGGCCAGGATGGTCTTGATTTCCTGATCTCATGATTCCCCCACCTTGGCCTCCAAAAGTGCTGGGATTACAGGCATGAGCCACCAAACCTGGCCGAGTCTCTTGTTTTTTATAGGCACAATATAAGGAACACTGTACCCAAAAGCTATTCTTTACTATTCAAAACATTAGAGATTGCATAAACAGCTGCTTTCAGTGCTATACAGAGAAATTAGAGGGATTTTTTTTCACTGAGGGTCAGTCAACAAAGACCAGAAAAATTACTGGTACCAGAAGGTGGACAGAAACCTTAGGGCTCAAAAGTCATTGCTGACCAGGGAGAATGGATGAGACTGGTACTTTGTGGGAGTTCGGACTGGTAGAAATGATGACTAGTCAGAGTAGTAAAAGCAATAATAATAATTTTGATAATATAATAATAAATGCACCAAGTACTACTACTCTAAGCAATGAATTTACTATATCAATTTGATAAATGGGTAAACTCCAGTACCCCAAACCTCTGACAATATCTGTAAAGAAACTGGGAACACTCTGCTAATAATTTGTAGAATTTGAATTTGAATGTAAATAGTTTGGCTGCACAATCTACATTTTTAATCATTATGAAATGTTAAACTAACTAGTCAGCAAGACCAGAAAAGGAAATAGAATCAAAGTGAGTCAGTAACTGTGGGTCCTGTTAAGCAGCATAATGCAATGTATGAATGGGCACATATGAAAAAGGTAAAAATAGATGAAAGATATAAGTAAGGAAGCAACATGTAAGACAGATTTTGCTCACTGAGGTCACAACTCAAGGGTTCACAAGCCACATTCAGGCCACAGATATACTTGTCTTGAGCCATGTTCTTTTCAAAATTTGAATTTATTGCCAGTGTATAAAAGATAGATGATTTCACATAAAATATGTTTGCAGTTTTCTTGAAAAACTTGAAATATGTGTCATCACTGGGTCTATACTGCCTCATGGTGACACCGCAAGCTGATGCAGCAGCTTCCCCTTTATACATGTTATTTATTCGTTAATATCCTTTGGTTGCAAAGGGTGTAAACCAGCTGAAGCTAGCTTAAACACAAGAGCAATGTGACTGGAATTTAGGAATGGACCGGGTTTTGGAAATGGGAAGTTGTCAGCAACCTAAGGTGCTTTTCTTTCTATGTTTTATATATGCTTCCCTTGGCATATCTCCTTATTCCTTCTCTCTTAGCAAATTATATTACATAATGAGCAAGAGATAGCTCCATCTCTTGAGTTTATAAGTTACAGTTCAGTCACATGAAAAGGTACTGGCTTTGTTTGTTCCAGTTCCCATATCACACCGATAGATCTGACGTGAGCCAGCTACTTATACCTAGATAAACCAGCTCTGGTCAGGAGGCTAGGGTCATGTAATATAAGCTATTGGCACACCATTGCTAATCAAAGTGGAGTTATAAGGGGGTCACTGTGTACAGAACAGACACTTCCAAATGTGTCCCCCATACCAAACATTATTTTGGCCCTACCCACTTTGTAGTAACTTCTTGTGTTCTCTTGGAAGTTTGTCAGCCCACTGTAAGCCTGGTCTTCTTGATATGCTTGCCAGGTATGTTTTGCTGCTATTTTGGGAACATATGGGGCTCACTGCACTCCCAATGGCCTAGTCCTTTCCTATGGTGAATCTATTCCTATTACGGTATAAAGCAATTTGAGGCCAAAATTGCCATAACACCCTGCTCCAATTTTCTCTTTGCACTTTGAAGCCCACAGGGCTTCCTTCAGATCCTTAAAATTATCTTATTAATCATCATAATGATCTAAAGGCCAGTGAGTGGGGCCTGGTGAATGTCTTCTTAAAGGGTAACAGTGCTGAATGAAAAAGAGGGAAGTCATGGGGAGGGCAGTTGATACCGATGTGCCCAGGCCTAGAGAATTAGTGAGAGTTGCATTTTTTTTTTTTTTGAGATTGAGTTTCGCTCTTGTTACCCAGGCTGGAGTGCAATAGCGCGATCTCGGCTCACCGCAACCTCCGCCTCCTGGGTTCAGGCAATTCTCCTGCCTCAGCCTCCCGAGTAGCTGGGATTACAGGCACGCACCACCGTGCCCAGCTAAATTTTTTGTATTTTTAGTAGAGACGGGGTTTCACCATGTTCACCAGGATGGTCTCGATCTCTCGACCTCGTGATCCACCCATCTCGGCCTCCCAAAGTGCTGGGATTACAGGCTTGAGCCACCGCGCCCGGCCGAGAGTTGCATTTATAAATGTAATGCCTGGGCTTTAGAACTAGACATAGAGACAGTGATTAACTGTGTTTCCCCTTTGTGGGTCCCCTTACTCCCAGGAGCTTTCCAAGTTTTATGCTTCCCTGCTGAGGATTTGGACACTTCTTTTATCAATGATACTTTTCAATGACTCTAAAGATCCCTTCCTGACACTCCTTACTGAAGTAGCAATTGATATTTGAAGTTTCACTCTCAGCTAGGTTTTCTTAGAGCTATTGTTAGAGGTTGGGATGCAGAGATTGCTAACCTTATACAATGTTGAGAGGGAAGCTTCTTCTACCCTCCAAAATACCAAAGTAAGCTGATCTGGCTGAAACTATCCGCTTTCAATATTCCCGGGATAGATTTCTTCCAAAGGAATCCAATCTCCCTGCTCATGTCTTGCTGCCTCCTCTGGAATTTGCTTTGCTTTTTATAAGTAGAATAGAATTATCCTGACTTCCTCAAGCTAAGAGTTGCCTATTTCCAGAGTGAGAGCCTACCTTTTTCAAAGTGAAGTGGGAAGAAATCAGAGCCAAAATCAAGCAACTTCTTAGGAAGAGTAATTTCACCTGGAGCATTTGGAGCAATTTCACTTGGAGCAATTGTTTTCTTTCTCTTTCCTCTTTGATAAAGTCAGTTCAAGTTGCAATAAAGTAAATATGGGTTTCTTTCTTTGTATCCTCTGTCTCCTTTGCCCAACTCTTTAGTTGACAGGTTAAGGCAGTATTTATCACAAATAGCAATAATAATTAACATTAATTGAGCAATTACTAAGTGCAAGACACTATTCTAAATTCCTGACAATATCTATATGCTAAAATGATCATGATAATTATATAACACCCCAAAATATACCTAACATTTAATGTTCAGTCAATGAATGGTAGCTTTTGTATATTCTCTATCTTTTGTCCTATTCCTTCTCCTTTAAAATGTACTTGGATTGGGCCTATTATAAGCACATGCTTTCTGATCCCAGAGAAGACATACTGGCTGCTCCACCATTATTTCATCTAACCCCACAGTAATGGTTTTAAGACTTTTCCGTATATATCATGCCTCATTTATACCTACTTTCAACTTTGTCTTCTTAATTTGCTGATCAGATTATATGAGTTCTCTCATTTCTCCTCCACCACACGTAACTCAGTATTACTCAAACTTTAATGTGTATATATCACCTGTGGATCTGCTTACAATGCAGATTCTGAGTCAGAAGATCTGGAGTGAGACCTAAAGAGTTTCTAATTTTTTATGTTTCTGAGTGATGTAAATGCCGTTGGATGAACCACAGATTGTGTAGCAAGCACCTAAAGAAGATCAAGGTTTATTAACGTAATTTTTTTAACAGATGAGAAGATTGAGACTTAAAAATGCTGAATGATTTTATCAAGGGCATACCGCTAATAAACGGTAGAGTCCAAACTTGGACCCATTTCCTGATGGATTCATTGTGTACCAATACCCTACACTTCTATAATTATTTCTCAAAGCAATTCCTTAATGTTGACTTGCTTTTTCTACCTCACCTCAGCCTATGGGAGTCTTCTTGGAGGTTATGTCTGATCTGAACACAACTTTGCTGTATTATCACTAAAGTTTCATTGAAAATAGTTTTAAGTTATTTTGGCTGGAAATGTCTCATAACTAGTGCATGAAAACTTCAAAGAACTCTGAAACAGCAGAGTCCACTGTAAGAATCAACCCAAATGTCCATCAGTGATAGACTAGATTAAGAAAATGTGCTACCAGGTGTGGTGGTGCATGCCTGTAATCCCAGCTATTCGGGGACCTGCGGCAGGAGAATCACTTGAACCTGGGAGGTGGAGGTTGTGGTGAGCCGAAATTGTGCCATTGCACTTTAGCCTGGGCAACAAGAGCAAACTCCATCTCAAAAAAAAAAGATGTGCTACATATACACCATAGAATACTATGAAGCCATAAAACGGAATGAAATCATGTCCTTTGTAGGACATGGATGGAGCTGGAAGCCATTATCCTCAGCAAACTAACACAGGAACAGAAAACTGAACACTGCACGTTCTCATTTGTAGGTGGGAGGTGAACAGTGAAACACATGGACACAGAGAGGGGAACAACACACACTGGGGCCTTTCAGGGGGGCAGCAGGAGAGAGAGAGCATCAGGATAAATATGTAATGCATGTCAGGCTTAATACCTATGTGATGGGTTGATAGGTGCAGCAAACCACCATGGAACACTTTTACCTATGTAACAAACCTGCACATTCTCCACACGTATCCTGAAACTTAAAATAAAATTAAAACAAAACAAGAAAAAATTCCCATTAAAAATGGACAAAGGACATGAAGAGATACTTCTCAAAAGACGATATACATGTGGCCAACAAACATATTGAAAAAAAGCTCAATATCACTGATCATTAGAGAAATGGAAGTAGAAACCACAATGAGATACCGTCTCATACCAGTCAGAATGCCTGTTATTAAAAGTCCAGAAACAACAGATGCTGGTGAGATTTTGGAGAAAATGAAACTCTTTTGCACTGTTGGTGGGAGTGTAAATTAGTTCAACCATTGTGGAAGACAATGTGACAATTCCTCAAAGATGTAGAGGAAGAAATACTATTTGACCTAGCAATCCCATTACTGGGTATATACCCAAAGGAATATAAATTATTATTTTATAAAGATACATGTATGCATATGTTCATTGCAGCACTGTTCACAATAGCAAAGACTTGGAATCAACCCAAATGCCCATCAATGATAGACTGGATAAAGAAAATATGCTACATATATGCCATGGAATACTATGCAGCTATAAAAAGGAACATGGATGGAGTTGGAAGCCATTATCTTCTGTGAACTAATGCAGAAAAAGAAAATCAAATACCACCTTCAAAGAGGAAGAGGGTTTTTATAGAGCATCTACTTAATGCCAGGTACTTTCATATATTACTTCATTTGATACTCAATGGGATTTTGTTCTCACTTATAAGTGGGAGCTGCATGATGAGAACACATGGACACATGGGTGGGGGTGGGGAATAACACACAAAAGGGCCTGTCAGAGGGTGAGGGGTGGGAGGAGGGAGAGCATCATGAAGAATAGCTAATGGATCCTGGGCTTAATATCTAGGTGATGGGATGGTCTGTGCAGCAGGCCTCCATGGCACAAGTTGACCTATGTAAACTGCACATCCTACACATGTACCTCTGAACTTAAAATAAACGTTGGAAATTTAAAAAAAAAAGCTAAAGAAAACGAGATGTTATTCTTCCTGCATTTTTCTCATCTCTCTTTTTCAGCCCAGACTGGCAGTGTTTCTGTTGATATAAAATTCTCATAAACCTCATTCACAGGTACCGAGGGTTAATATTTCAACATATCTTTTGGTAGGGCACAATTTAACCCATAACACTTAGTTATCTATAAATATAGAACATATATATATATCCATATATATAGAACATTCATGTGTAGTGTGTACATGGTTGGGAGTCAACAAATACTTATGGTCTGATCTATAAAAACCTTTCTTGATGTTCCTTAATCATTCTAAACACATTCCTGCCACAAGACTTTTGCGTTCACTGTTACTCTAACACTCTTCCTTTTGCCTCTGATATTTTCATGTCTTACTCCCTGTCTTGATTCAGATTTCTGTTTAAATACTGTCTCTTCAAAGAAGTCTTCCTTGACTTTTCTATACAAAATAATTCAGCCCCACCCACCTCTAACATTCCTAATTAATCTTTCTTGCCTGCTTCATTTTTATTCCTTCATGTGATACTTGCTGACCATTATGTATTTATTTTGTTTATTGCCTATTTCCCCTTACTGGAATGTAAGTTTCATGAAAGCTTGGACTTTTGTTTGTTGTTGTTTGATGCAGTTTTTCCCAGAGCATAAAATAGTTCATGGCACATGTTAGGCAGTCAATATTTGTTCATGCAGTGAATTAACATAGAGGAAGAGGGTTTTTATAGAGCATCTACTTAATGCCAGGTACTTTCATATATTACTTCATTTGATACTCAAATGCTTGGGGATTTTGTAACACAAACAGGGAAAATCGTGTGAAAGCAAATGTGAAAATCAGTGTCAACAAATTTTCTAGTGGAGCAAAGTGACTCGTTTCTCGTATTATGTGGAAGACTGGTGATTTCTTTTCTTTTCTTTCCTTTTTTTTTTTTTTTGAGATGGAGTCTCGCTTTGTCTCCCAGGCTGGAGTTCAGTTGTGCCATCTGGGCTCACTGCAACTTCCGCCTCCTGGGTTCAAGCAATTCTCCTGCCTCAGCCTCCCTAGTAGCTGGGATTACAGGCACCTACCACCAGGCCCAGCTAATTTTTGTTTTGTTTTGTTTTTTGTATTTTTAGTGTAGAAGGGGTTTCACCATGTTGGCCAGGCTGGTCTCGAACTCCTGACCTCCAGTGATCACCTACTTCCACCTCTCAAAGTGCTGGGATGAGTCACCGTGCTTGGCCTGGTGGTTTCATTTCATTTAGCAACTTTTACACTCCACGAGTTCTACCATAAATAAACTATGGTCCCTGCTGTCAAGGAGCTAACAGTTTAGTTTGGAAAGGAGGTAACATTTCACGTGTTTTTGAAAGAGTCCTATGTATTAAGCACACAAGAGGGCAAGGGGGCAATATATGTAAAGGTGCAAATGCATGAGAGGTCATGATTTCTACCTTTCACTACACATATGTGCATGCACACACACCACATATTATATTGTAACTAGGAGCACACACACACTACATATACTGTCTTAACTAGGAGCAGCAGCAACAATACCATGTGTTGCGTTTACTACACTCCAGGCACTGTGCAAAGCACTAGAGTAAGGGATGAGTATGGCTTGATCTGTGCTATAAATATATTAATGGTCCAATTGAGTGGGTTAAGCCCATAAAGAAATAGATATACAAGGCAGTGAAGAATGCCCAACATGAAAGGAAGACACCTTGTGCTCCAGAAATCCAGATTTAAGACCAATTATAGTGGACAAGATGGTTGGAAAAGAAATCAAGGAGATGGAAAGGCTTGAGCTACATTTTGAAGATGAAATTTTATCAAGGGCAGAAAGGAGAGAGGCAATTTTTGTGGGGATAAGGATGGTCCAAAGTCAGCCTTCATAGTTCCATGAAGACAGGAAATATGTCTGCCTTTTAGAAACATTTTTAAAATTATTATGGGTACATAGTAGCTGTATATATTTATGGAGTACATGAGATATTTTGGTACAGACATACAATATGTAATAATAACATCATGGAAAATTGGGTATCCATCCTCTCAAGCATCATCCTTTGTGTTACAAACAATCCATTTATACTCTTTTAGTTATTTTAGTGCCATATTCTTGGTACCTAGTACATGGCCTGACACTTAGTAGAAATTTGCTAATATTAGTAGTCATAATGTGTAACCTCTTGAGTAGACAAGTTTGGATGAAGCACAGATTCTACTGCATGAGTAGTTAGAGATAAGAATAGATTGTATAAAGGATGTTGCATACCTGTGACACTGATGCCCTTCAGGATGCCTCCGATCCAAATCCTATGAGCCCGAGGAAACTTTAGAGGAAAGCACTAGGCACTAGGAAGCTGAGCCAAGATTGTCTTTGTAAATCTGTGACATCTCCCTGTCTTTCCAGGCTTCCTATCTGTGTATTTGCAGATAAGAATTGGGCTGCTTAATTTTAAAGTACTCTCCATGTTTCTAAAATTGCAAAAATATATTTATTCAGAGTCAATTATTAGTAGACTTCCTGACTACACTAGTCTATGTATTTACTCACACACTCAATTTCCCACTTACCATTCACTCTCTTATATATTTACATTCATTTGTTGAGAATATGATAATTTATTTTGCATATGGGGGCTAACAGTTGGGATCAAGGTCTAGGGCTTACGACTAAAATATACTCTATGATGTTACCTTTAAAAAATATGCTAGCCAAGCAGATACACATGTGAGTGTGGAAGCCCTAGGGGGTTTATGTAAGGGCACCTTCCTCACTTTTATACAGCTCTACGTGGCAAATTAAGTTGAGTTTTATTTATTTTATCCTCTGGTTTAATTACATAATTTTTTTTTTTACTTTGAGTTTAGGGATACATGTGCACAATGTGCAGGTTTGTTACATAGGCATACATGTGCTATGGTGGAAATATTTTTTAAGTGTAATTCTGCCAAATAATAAAAACAGAAGGAAATTGTGGTTAGAGAATAGAGTAGAAGATTTGATGCTGGAGAGATTAAGGTGCAATAAGAAGTTAGGGAGAAATGCAGTTCATTATTAGAGGGTACATGATGTGGTACCTGAGGTCTGCATGTTACCTCTTAACAATTTCTGTCTTTCAGATGGACACTTAAGTTGAATTTCTCATGAAAATCATATGCCTATGTGATAAAGCTACTAATTTCCTTTGGAACTTTTACCTTTAAGATAATAGTTTACATGTAGTGGCACTTGAAATCTAGGAGTATTAACTAATATGGGCATTGTAGTTAATGGCAGTTGATGGGTTCTAATTTTGGATGGTGTCCAGAGAAGGGAAAGTTATTTCTAGAAAGCCTGTTCCGCCTCACTGCACCAAACAACTCTTCCTTGTAGTGGACTCATTACATGTGAAGTAATCTCACCACCTAACTAGTGGGAGAGCCATCCAAATGAGAAACCTAAAATAATTGGTTCTTGACCATGCACAGTTGCTCACGCCTATAATCCCAGCAGTTTGGGAGGCTGAGGCGGGTGGATCATCTGAGGTCAAGAGTTTGAGACCAGCCTGACCAACATGGAGAAACCCAGTTTCTACTAAAGATACAAAATTAGCCGGGCATGGTGGAGCATGCCTGTAATCCCAGCTACTCAGGAGGCTGAGGCAGGAGAATCACTTGAACCCGGGAGGAAGAGGTTGTAGTGAGCTGAGGTCGCACCATTGCACTCCAGCCTGGGCAACGAGAGTGAAATTTCATCTCAAAAAAAAAAATTAGTTCTTCGTAGAGATTTCTTATTTCTCCACTTTGTTCTTTAGGATATTTTAGGTATTGACTTTTGTTTTTATTTTAACTCATATCTTTAAAGGAATTCCCCAAATAATGTTTCTAGCTAACTTGGAATTTGTAATCTCAGTTCTGGGAGAGGCCTTTTTTTGGAACAATTATTATCTAAAGTTGCTTTTGGGTCACAGCATGCTTGTGTATGTCTGTTACCATGTCAGTGTGGTCCTATGCTGAGTGCGCTTAGGGGACTTGAATCTTTCCAGTAGACCACGTTTGAGATAGTATGAGTCACTGTGCAGTGTAGCCCACACTTGAAAGGATGAATGTATGTGCAGTCACATTGCTCTGGGTAGAAGTAGGTTATTTTGTACTATTTTCTCTGTGTTTGTTATTTGACTTAATTTCTCTGTGTTTGTTCCTACAGCCCCTTTTACATATGTTGCTCGATCTCCCTTTCCCTTCTTGGTGCTTATACATCTGAGATCCTTTGGTCAAATCCTTGCCAATAACAGCATTTTGTTTCTCAGTTCTCACTGTTCCCTCTGGTAGTAGAGCCTTTGAGTAAAAATGTACATAGCTATGGAGTGGAGTTTAGCTGGAAAAGGTGCACTTCCAACTGCACGTTAACTTCTGGCTCCTCAAACAGTAGGCTGGCAGTAAGGCAGGGAAGTTGTTTTCCCATTTCTCACTGAGCAGATTGTGAATATTTCCATATGGATTTTTTTATTGTTAATGTTACTCTGATTCTTTGTTTTAAAATAAAAATTCTGAATGTACACACACACGGAAATCCTTAGCCTACTATTAGTATAGTCAGCAAGTGTATCAAAAATTGACTGTGAATAAATACAGCATTTTTGCAATTTTAGGAACATGGAGTATACTTTATAATTAAGCAGCCCATTTTTTTTGTAACTCAAGGGCCACAGAGACTAGATATTAAATTAATCAAATTTGAATTATACTTCACTTAAAAATTCCAAAGCCAGATCACATGCTCAGACATACAGATAGACAAACCTAAGAAAAATGTGA